ATAAATTCGAACTCGAAGTGCCTGAATGTCGGGTTCCTTTTATCCTAGAGTCTTGGTGTCAAACCGAACAAAGTTAAAGCCAGCCCTCATCAGAATGTTAGTTTAGATGGAAATGTTTGTCACTGATGATGGTCAGAAATTGGGGCGTAGTTTCTACCTGTCAGAGCACCAAAGAGGCGTGTTTTTGGGGCGTAAATATAACAGCATGCTAACAACATAGCCGAACAATAACAATTCCAAAACCATCTCCATGCAACTGAGATCTCTTTGGTCCCGATTTCAGGCAGATTTACTGTTGCATACTTTTTGGAGCACAGATTCGTGGCGTGCCTCGTTTATTATGAAAATGTTAAAATGCTAACAGAACAATTGAAAGTTAGCTGCGAATTTTTAGAGTGTTCAATTACATTTCATGTGCTGCACAAACAAAAGTGCCTGGAGTGGGCGGTGGAGCTCGCGGGGGGGCAGTTGGGCAGGGCGGGTTGCGGATGGTGGGCTGCGGGTGGTGGTACTTAACGCCTCTTGTTGATGGTGTTTGCTCGTGTGTTGCCAACTTTTCCAGCGCTGTTGTTGTTCATTGTTGTTGCTGTAGCGTAAAGTTGTTTGCATATATAATTTCTATGCATACGAAGCTGAGGCTGACACAAAGCGCAAAGACACTCGGCACACTCATGTGTGTGGAATTGGGATGGGGCCGGAGGAGGAGTCGGTGTAGGAGCAGGAGTAGGAGTCGGAAGACGGCAACACCCACGCATCAAAATTAATGATATTTTAATGTAAAAACAATTCCAGCCACTTAAGCCCCATTCATACCTATTGTGTCTGCATGTGCATGTGTGTGTGCGTGTGTGCGTGTGTGTGAGTGTGAGCATTTCAATTTATAAGCCAAAGCCCGTGACGTAGTCCGCATTGAGCATGGCCATGGAAATTGAGCCCCGGCAACGAAAGGCAGCCCCACCCACACAACAGCAAGTCAGAAAGTTTCAGTGGAGCGTACTCGACTTATTGATACCCTGCAGGCAGCAGGTGTTCTCTATCGCCAGGTCGATAATATGGCTATACTTTCAGGAAGAGTTGGCACATCATTTGTTAAGGTCTTTATGTAGAGTTTTCAAAATTAATTTGAAGCCGATCGGGCGAAACATTTTCCCCCCGAATCGGTGGAAACGTGTGAAAAAAACGAATTTACACCAAGGTCTCTGAAGATTAGTTTGGGGTTGATCGGAAGGTAGAAAACTAAGTTGAATGTAAACGTTATCCGCGATTTTCCACACAGGCGGCTGGAATTTTCCGAAGGGTAAGCTTTCTTCTATATTCTTGCTATTTGAGCTGTGCGTTGAACACCAATCAATCAATCCATCACTCAGTCTCTCAGTCTTTCAGTCAGAAAAAACGGTTAGCTATATACATAGATGCCCATTCTTCAGTAGAGCACACTTTTGCACAATTCCAAAAGGGTGCAGGGTATTCAAAGTCAAGAGGGAACTTTCCCATTTTTGGCAGCACAAGTTAATCCCTGAGTGCTGCATGCTGTATGCTGTGTGCTGTGTGCGCAGCTTTTAAATAATAGCAAACTACAGTGCTTCAAAAATCAAATTACATATCAACTTTTTTTGTATTTTTGATTTTTTAGTATATTCACTTTTTTTTGTTTTGTTGTTGGCCTTACGCAGAATGTGGCACAGTTTTTCGGACCGCAATTGTTTGTGCTCGTTATTATCATGCGGCTCGACTTTGTTCCGCTTTTGTTGTTTGCCTCTCAATCTGCGCGCTTTGTGATGTACAAAAGGGACAGCGGACTGGGCAGAGTCAGAGAAGCGAAAAAAAAAAATAAAATATTAAATGTAAGCTGGGAACGTAATATTGAAGTTGCCGCTTTGTGTTGCATTATCCGAATGCTGCCTGAAGAGGGCCGCGACCCTTTCGAATGGCGCAAAGCGCCATCCACAAAAAAATATAAAGTATTCTATTTTCATTTGATTCTGAATGACAAATTGCGACGGCCAGAACGCAGACCAGTTAGCCGGAATGGCACACAAGATAATTGGCAAAATTGTTCAACATTTGCCATACCTATATATGTATGTATATGCCCAGGAATTGACAAAACCGAAAGTGAAACGTGGCCTAAAACATCGACAACAGAGATAATTGCTGGAATGGCACGGAAATTGATTTGCTTGGTATTTATGATGGAAGGGTCGACAACTTCGAGACAGCTTCAACCCATGCATTTAGTATATGCTTACGAAGCAAACAATTAAAAGCAAGAGGCCTAATCGGAATACGAAAATTTCTAAATTTCAACCCCCGACACGTTGGGGACCAGCTGTGCCCCATTTCACAGCTAGTTTTGAGTCTACAGCTTAATAGAGAAGAGAGTATTAAAATAAAATCTTAATTGACTATCTTAGTTTTGAATATTTAATAATTAGAAACAAGGGGGAAAAGGCAAGGGAGGCATAGCGACATACAGATGGCGAAGCACTGTGAGTTTTATTTGACAGTCTACATAAGATTTAAAGTATTCACAAATGGCTCGGAGAGTGACTCACTTCGAAGAACCTAAGCCCATTTTATCATATCAATAAAAACATGTACATAGCTCTATGTCCCGACGGCCAAAAGCAGTTAGTTACAATATTTTAAAGTATTTTTCTAGCAATAAGTCAATTTGCCCACAATTCGAACTAACAATTGAATACCATGAGCCGAATCTTAAACCGGAACTTTGCCCTCAAGCGAAACACTAAATTTTATAATACTAAAATCAAGTCAAGCTCGAATCAAAACCTCAGTTGAAAGACATGAAGCCAAGAACTCGGCTCGGGCCATGAATCAAATTAAACAAAATTGGCAATTGACTTGCAGCTTTAATACCTCTAAATATAATCAAAATGTGTATAAATACTCATAAGCAAGCCAGTAAGGTTTTCCAAGCTTGATGCGAAGCAAATTCCAATTGATCAAAAATGTCTTCTGCTTCCAGTCAGAAGTGCATTCACAATTAACTCGGCACAAATGTTGCGAAACATAACTAACTTAAAATCGTTCAATTTGCTAAAAAGGCTTTCCAAATTTTCCTAGCGAGCTTTGCAACTGGTTCCAAGAAGGATTTATTGTTATATTATGTGGCAAATGTTTTGCTTTGGCGTTTAATGGACCTTTTGATCAATTTCCTGGAAGGGCGTCAGATATCAAAGCGTCAACTTGTATCCAGTTCGCCGACAATTTAATGAAATTGGAACTGAAACCAGTTCCTGGTGCTTAGTGCCGCAGGCGCAAAGAACTCAACAACTTGTCCATAAGTGTAATTAAATTTACGCATGCGACCTGTTGCTGTTTTTGTACTCGTTGTTCTCGTTGTTCTCGTTGTTGTTGTTGTTGTTGCCTGTTTTGATGGGGCGCCTCAAAGTATGCTTTGATTTTGAGGCTGGGACTAAATCAAAGCCCGGGCAAGACAAGACAAGACAAGCTGACGACTGACAGCTGCAGGGCGGGCAGTGGGCGTGTCAATAGGCATTAGTACAGCCAGCCGCTAAGCTCAGCATGTGTATGTGTGTGCATGTGTGTGTGTGTGTGTGTGTGTGAAGCTCTGTGATGTGCGCTTTACTCTCTAGAGACTTAGCGGTAATTCACTTTTACGCGACCAACTAAATTAATTGCACACATTTTGCCAATCATACGCAGTACACACATAAACACACACACACACGCACACACACACACGCACGCACACACCTTAGCCAGCTGTACGTGCGTGGCAGTGAAATTGTCAACTTGGGCTCTCGCCTCACTCACAATTGCCAACAAATTTGCCAACTTTAAGTACGTGCTGGTGCACCTTTGCCATGCCCTTGCCCTTGCCCTTGCCCTTGCCCTTGCTCTTGCCCATGCCCATGCCCATGCCCATGCCCATGCTCATGGCCAAAGCCACGCCGCCTCCCTTGCGCCCACACCTGAGAGCGCAGCAAGTGTAATTTATATATTGTGGTGTGCACAGTTACTTGCAGACGCCGCCATCTGGGCCGTCTCGGCTGGTCTCGGCTCCCACGCATGAGAAATCGACGGCAACATCTGAGATGCGCATAAATTACGCACAGAAGTCCAGCTCGGACCTCCCGCTTCCCCGCACTCTGAACCACGTACCTTGAAGGGCCAGCAAACCGGGCCCATTCAAGCGTCTAATAGCTATGATTCAATTAGAGGTCCAGCGGTCTCCTGCTCCAGCTGCTTTCTCACGTGTGCTAATCAATTGCAAATTGGACGCCCATGGAGTGCATTGAGCAGCTCTTGACCTTCCCCTGATGGGCGCCCATTATTGGGCGAGGGGCAGGCAGGGATAAGCGCTTGTAATTTACTTAAGTGCTTTGGCTTTAGCGGGCAAGCTGTTTTACATTTGCCTGATCGTTAATTATAATGTCTAAGAAAGCCAAAGACGAGCTGCAGCTAATTTTAAACTGTTCGCTTACCAAATATTCTCATCCCTGCTAGATAAAAGCTAGATAAAAGAGCAAAGCACTAGAAACATAATCTGTAGCTGTTTCGATAGAGGCTCAAATGCATCTTCAGCTGCACTTGAACTAATTCATATACCCTTTCGACCAAAATTAACTATCGTTAACATTTCACAACTATTCTGGTGCATAGTCATTAAATGCATGCCTGCATTCCAATCTTACTCAAGAGCCGAACTAAGTACTTACTAAGGAGCTTTATTTGGGTGCCTATATTTATCTGAAAAGCGGCTTAAATGAGAACGAGCCGGATCGATTTTCTCGACTAGATCATAATTTACCCTTCGTAAGCACATTTACCAAATATTCTCTGCCTCAGATATTTCCTATTTTCAGATAAACATTTTAATTGACGTTACGAAGAATTCCCCACCAATCTAGGTTAGATGATCTACCAACTCCTAGAGACTCACTTCTCACTTAAAGTAATAGAAAAAATTCAATTGTTCATGATATCCAGATACTGGAGTTTATTATAGTTACGTATAGGCATCTCTTTGCCGTTGGCGACGCTGGCGATCCTTCTCCTCCATATAGGGTATTATCGAGGCCTTTGTCGGAAGTATGACCACAACGGGCAGCATTTTTTTGCACTTGTCCAAAACAGGATTCAAACGCTTCGCCGTGGGATAGTCGAGCAGAATGATGCCGATATTGGGGCGTTTGTATAAGATGTGGAAGAAATCCTCAAGCTCGCCGATCGTGGTCCCTAAAAAAGTATTATATAAAAATGCATAAATTGATTAGAGATCACAAACGTATGGACAATACGAACCATGTTCAACCATTAGATAGTTTCGAAAGTTCTCACGATGATAGCCAATGCCAGCGAGCAGCAGACCCAGGGTTACCTCCTGCAATCAGAATATGTTATATGTTGTATGCTTTTCGATATTCAATATAATTGATTAAGTAAATGTTGTACAAATTTTATATCTGTTTGGCATATAAGAGGCCACATAACGAATTTGCTGGCACTTGCAGTTTGTTTGGCACGTTAAGTGTTATATGGAGGGGTATTTGGTATGCAGGTATGCAGGTATACAGGTAGACAGTTATAGCCGGTGCCGACTGTTAGCTGTACTTACTGTATCGGCTATGACACCGATGCGTATAACTGAATTATCCTCGGGCTCCTCTACCAGCAGCTCCTCCTCATCGGACTCCTCATCGCTCTCATCCTGCTGTGCGTGCTTTTTATGCTGAGCCTTTTCACTCATTGTATCTGGATATTAGATTTGTTTTTTGATTTTAACTGGTGCTCGAACTGAATGTGAATAACTTACTATCGGAGCACTTTGTTTAGTTTCGTTTGTCAGTTGAATGTTGCGTCAAAAGTGCTACAATTTTGCAGCTGAAACCCTGCCCTGACTCCGGCATTCTGTGGGGGCTAACTCGAGCCCCAGGCTGCTGTGTTTGCCCATGTTTATTTTTTATGACTTTTTAATGAGTTTCCAATAAATAGCAGTTGCCACACAGCCCCACAGCCCCACAGTCCCATAGCTCGTGCTATGCTCCGCCCTGACAACCACCCTGCAACACACACGCGCATAAAGCAGCCCGAAATTGCAGAGCTTAAGCTTTAAGCCGGCAGCTTGTGGCACGGCAACGGCTATAGATGGAACTCAAACTGAAGCGGGAGCTGGAGCTGGAGCTGGAGCTGGCGGGCTGCTTAGTCGGCCAGGGCGCTTTGTTGCTGGAGTGCCAAAATTAGTTTTTTCCTTTCACTTATTTTGCATTCATTTTAATTATTAAATTTGCGTTGGCTTTGGCGCTGCCTTGCCTCGAAAAATTGAGCCCAAAATGAAAATTCAATTATGACATGAGTTTACAGATTTTCTTGCCCGGAGACCTCTTTGCGAGCGTGTTGCCCAAAGGCATTGACGGCATTGACGGCATTGAGACGGCATCTTTGTGGCTACTTTTAGAAAATTGATTAACTGCGACTTAACGAAAATTCGTTTACTTTGCGTTTTTTGTTATCCAGTTGATTAAGTCACTTGCCCCATCCCCAACGCTTCCCCACCGCAAACTGGGCCAACCCCACCTTCGAATCGCAGACACTTGTAGCTCTTCCCCAGTTGGGCTCAATACCTCGAGCATACTGGAAAGCTTAACATGGTTCGAACTGTCTAGAAATAACATTGCACCGCTTTCCATAACAGCTGCGCGACTGTTAATCGGCTGTTAGCCAAAAAATGTGATAGCTTGTAACATTTTTGGACGGAAAATAGAAGAACGAGATCATTTGCAGCTACTTAATAAAGTACATAAGACTTGGAATAAGACTTTCTGAAATACTAACATGAAAAACTAACAGGCCTGCTCTAACATAACCTTTTTTAACATAGCATTTGTTGTTTAATATTAATACTTAAACAGAGCATACGATAATTTTAAATAGCCATTATCGAATGGGATTTCAGTTCCATAAGGTAACATACCATATAAAAATGGATTGCTATTCATATATCTTGAGCGTGTTGAAGTAAATGATGTTTTTCCCTTTATTATATCTACCTTCCTACCTACCTTCCAAGCTAAAATATACTTTTGTTGACGGCTGGTTTCTCAAAGGGCTTCCTTCACCTCTGACACAGCGCTTAAGTATTGCGTTAGATGAAAGGATGTAAGTATCAGTTGTCGCTTCAGAGAATTGGCAAACTCTTCAATCACAATCTATAAATAGCTCGGCGCCTGCTTATTTGCTTATTAGGTAACAAGCTCGAGACGTCTGATTAATCTAACCGCACTGAAGGCGTACAATCAGTTGGCCAAAACTTGGGGCTGAGAAAGAGGCTGAGACTGAGATTGAGACTCGGACTGAGACAGGCAACTGACAACTGGCAACAGGCAGTCAACGTTCAAATTGTTTTTGTTTTACTTTGTTTTTTTTTTTGTTTGTTGCTTTTTCTTTCTGCAACCCGCCAAGTGACACAAACAAGTTAGCCAGCACAGCCCACACACACACACACGCACACACACACACCCACACACACAAAGGGGAAGCCCAAAATGTGGCAGAAACAAGCAGAAAGCGTAGTCTCAATAATCCAAAATACGCTATGAATAAAGCCAGTTTACCTTTATCAAGTAGTAGCAATGGAATTTCTAACCAAATATCATAGCTTTCTTATAGTTATTTTGACTGTTTTTAGCTCACTGAATGTATTGAGAAAGTTTTATATTTGTTTAATTTATAAATTTAATTTAATTTTGCCAGCTGTAGCTGCTTTGGGCTTTGAGTTCCTTGCCATGAGGGTCATGCCATGTAAAATATGCTGACTGAGATTTTATAGAAAGTCAACTATATCACTTACACAATCGTATATGCTTAACATCAAAAGAGAAAATCAATTTTAAAGCCTCTTTTTACATTTATTTATGCGTTGTTTCTCGCAACATATCCAAATGTTATAAAATGTAATGTTTATTTTGCCGAAAATAAACGAAATACATAATATACAAAATACATTCAAAGTTCCTTGAGGTCACTGTGAGTGTAACTTGACTCCTTTTGACATTGTGAAAGCAGCTTTTGATTATCTTAAATTTTACAGTTCTTACAGGGAAACTACGTTGAAAGTCTTAATTATTTTCGTGTTTGCCTAATATGAATGTACCTGCAAAGCAATTCTGATAGCTTTGGCAGCCAAAGCCATTTCGTAGATCTTTTCGTGTCGCCTTAAATGTTGCTTTCAAGTCGAAAGGATTTGCGATACTTTCTCTGCTGCCCGCTTGCACATAAGTATTTGCATGGCCTTTTTTCTTTGCTGGTGGTTGAGAGGGCAGAGACAGAGACAGAGCCAGAAAAACAAAAAACCAAAAGACAAATTGACAGGCGCCATTTGGGCATTGACTTTGGCCCCCGGTGCCGGGGGCGTGGCACGCAAGCTGACAGCAGAGTTTTGGAAATGAAAGTTATCTGGATTTTCATTTGGATTTCGATTTCAATTTGTTGTGAGCAGCTCTCAAAGGCTAAACAATACATGAAAATGCCGAAAGACTGAACGACTTCTAAGGAGCTGGTCTAACTTAAAGGGTTGTTGTTGCCAAATCATGTTGCATGTTGTTGTTGTTGTTGTTGTTGTAACGAAAAACAGCCGCACACACGCACAAGCAGATAGACAGGCAGACAGATGGTAAAATTATTATGTTCAAAGTGAATATTACGTTAACCGTAACATGGGTCGTTGGGACGGACAGACAGACAGACGGACAGACAGACAGACAGAAAGTCTGGCTGAGGGCAGAAATTACACGTTTACAAGGGAAAACATGCGGCAAATTGTTGTTAAGTATGAAGTACGTGAGAGAATATTGAGAGAACTTTATGATTATATTCCAGTATATGGCTAATACGTTTGGGGGGCGGGATGCGTGGCAATTGTAGCCCTGGGAAACTGGCTCAAAAAACTATTTGATGTAGCATCAAAGAAATCTCTTATTAAACAAGAGAGCGTGACAGAGTGAGAGAGAGAGAGAGAGGGAGTGAGCTGAAATGGGTCGAAGGGGCATACCTTTTGCAGCCCAGACGTATCTTAACTTTTTATTTTTATTCAAATTTCTGCATGCGCTGGAAATGCTTTCCCCAGTTTGTCAGCTTTCCTTTCTAAGAATCAGAGTAGTTATATAACAAGAGTCGATCTTTTCTTATTTCTCAGTATCGAATCGGGAGTGAAAGTCGGCCAAATTGTATATATTCCGAAAAACTATTTAAATTCCAATTTAATAGAATAGACCTTGACTTCATGTTGCAGCATAGCCTCCACATTTCCCGAGCTAGCCTATGGGTTATTATTTAATTGCAACTGAACATTCGATGGCCTGCATGGAATTGAATTAACCCAACACAATCGAATCGTGAACTGGTCTCGCAAGTTAAATTGTCAACCTGCTTGTCTTAGCTACAGGGTATCGGACGGTCGAGCAAACTGCTTTTAGGCTTGCAGCGTAAATGAACACAACAATCACATAAGCGTGCATGTCAAAATGCAAACGGCTGGCAGAAGATTTTAATACATTTGCGCATTTTTGGAATTTCGATGCGCGCTTTTAGCCCCCCCACCCCCACCCCCTCCCTTGCCACCACGCCCCTGGCACCACCAGCTGTGAGCTGAGCATGAAAAGTGCTTGCAACGCGCGCTGCAGGCAGTCGACTGCAAGCAGCAAAGCCTTTAGGGCCAACCCACACACACACACACACACAGAGAGTGACAGATTTTGGATTGTCCTTGTTGTGCGGCATATGTGTACATGTGGGTGGTTGGGTGGTTTGGGTGGGTGGGTCAAATGTGGTGCGGCTTTAATAACAGCGTAAATTGCGTAAGCTACCAACAACCATTAATAACTTTTCTGCACCTGAACGCAACCAAAAACAGAAGCTGCCAACCAGCGGGAGGCCGTGGCCAGAAGAGAAGAAACGAGCAATTGGACACAGAGAGGGGGCGAAGTGGTTGAGCGGCGCACTGGGCGTATGCTCAATTTCAATGGGGAAACAAAAAACTGACGTGCGCGTGGGTGTGTCTTTGTGCCGTGTGTGCGTGTGCGTGTATGTGTGTGTGCGTGTGTGTGTGTGTGTGTGTGTGTGTGTGTGTGTGTGTGTGTGTGCGAATGTGTGTGTCAATTGTTTGCCTTTTGCTGTCTGCTGCTATTTCATTCAACGGATACAACAGAACCAACACAAAATATTTTCCAGTATATATTTTATAGGCTGCTCAAATACCCTGCACTAATGCGGCGGAGTCTAGTGAGTTTGAACTTTTACTGTAGACATGAAGCCAACAATTTAAGGCTTATAACAGCCTCTATCCCCTAATAAATGGAAGGAAATAGAGAGCAAAGCTGCTAGACTTATAAAGCTCTGAACCTCAAGGAACTCAGACACTCAAGCAATATCAATAATAATAATAATAATAATGCTTGAATGCTTAAATTGTATATGAAAAACAAAATAATTATATATTTGAGCTAGTCAAGTGATGTTATGCTAGCTTTTCGACGTAATCCTCACCCAATTGCACCTATGCCAAAGTTACCCCAGCTCCAGCTCAAGAGACTCAGAGGCTGTCGATGGTAGGCTGGCATATTTGGTATACCGACTTTCATCTGCCATGGAAAATAAAAAATTTGTTTGGAATTTTAAATAATCCAGAAAATCCCTTAATATTATAAAAATCTGTAATGTCTATATGTGACACGGGGCGTTGTTAAATTTGTTTTCGTGCCATGCTTAAAATATGCCAGCAAATGAAACTCGAGATGCTAGATAAGGGATGCCCTCTAGAGAGAGTGCAGGGTGCAGACTTGTTAAGAGCACTCTTATGTTTTGTGTGAGTGTGCCTGTGCGGTGTGTGTGTGTGTGTGTGTGTGTGAGTGCGTGTGATGGCTGCTGCCCATTTAATTATTGATTTCAACATTGAGGTGATTAATATTTTCGAAACGTACCCGAAACGAAACGAATCGAGTTAAATGGCCTCAAGCGGTTGTCGATTGTTTTTATGTGGCGTCATAATTGCATTTCCTTGTTACGGCCATTGTGCATGTGTGTGTGAGTGTGTGAGTGGGTGCGTGTAGCAACTAGTGCATTTTAGGCACTCCCACTGCAGGCCAAATGACAAGAGCAGCGCTTAACCACAGCTGAGTTGCCGCAGATTCGAATTGTTGAATGTCGAACACTGAAACGGCAGCGCCCTCTGGCGTTCGGATAGTGCAACTTGCTTTTTATGCTTTAAGTGCTAAGCAAGTATTTTAACATTTTCTTGCGCTTTTTTATTTAATTTGCAATCCAAAGTAGCACAAACTTTCAATTCAACTTTAGGTCTGAGATAAAGTTCTTTGCGCGTTGTGGTTTTTCCTTTAGTTTCTCCCTGTGTGTGTGTGTGTGTGTGTGTGTGTGTGTGTGTGTCTGTGTGTATTGGGGAAAGATTGTCGCAGCTGCGGCAACAGTTTTTTTAATTACAATTAGAATTGTAATTGTGTCATTTAATTGAAGCAACACCCGACTAACTGTTGCCTAATGGCAAATCCATCAAAGCGACAAACCCGAAAAAGTATGCTACAATTTTGCACCCCAAAGAGAAGACTTACTTGTATGTCCTGCCTAGGAGTGTGTGTGTGCGTGTGTGTGTATAAGTAGATGTGTTACACCAGCCGTAAATTACTTTAGCCAAATACCCCAACCTCAGCCCACATTTACATATGCGAATGTGTAGCAAAAAATAAGAGAAGAAATGTTTGTTTTTTGTTTTATTTATTTTTTTTTCTCCTTCCTTTTGGGGCATCAATCTTCCTCCATCATTGTCAGAGGCGGCCCCAATGACGATGACGATGGCGATGACACAGCAGCAGCTTAAGCACACACAGCATCAGCTGGAGCCCACCCACACACACACACACACACACACACACGCACACACGCACACACGCACTCACCCACACAGCCCGCCACACACATATAAAATAAATGAAATATCATTGATGCAATTTCATAATTTTGCTGGCCAACAGTAAAATGTAGAAACAATTTCGCTTATTCCTCAGCCGATTTTGTTCTTTTTTTCCTTTGCCAGTTATTTGTGGCGTATTTGCGACCTCAAATAATAAATTAATTTTTTATTTACATTACCATCAATATTAATTTAATGCTTTTTGTTTGCCCTCGTTTCCCTTCAGCTTTGGCGCCTGCGATGAAAGCTTTCCGATTGCTGTTGCCTGGGGGTGAAAAAAAAAGAAAGAAAACCAAAAACATTTAAATTTCATTATAAAGTTGAGCTACTTAATTATGAGATATATTTTTTGCACGCATTTTATTACATTTATTTTAATATATTCAACATTCAATTCGATTAATACGTAATTAACTAAGTAAAATAATAATAATGCCGCAAATTACTAGAAAATGAGAAAGCTGACTGTAGATTAAAGACCCTTTGCTGGCATTAAATTGAGTAAGAGAATTTGCTTTAAAAAGTCATTTGATTCTGTATTGATTTGTCTTTAAAGAGGATCAAATTAATTCATTTCACTCGATTGCTTCTGCTTTTCGATAGGGTAAATAAAGTGCAAAATAATTGCCAGTATCTAGCAGGGCAAACGAGACATTTGAATGCATTTCCAAGCACCAAATACTTGAAGCAAATAGAGCTGTACAGAACAGAAACAGAGTGAGGAGTGGGAGTGGGAGAGAGAGAAAGAATTATGCTCAGCTGTAGCTTCGGATGCATTCGTTTGCTCGCAAAGCTTTTTCGTGTGCTTTCCACTGACTCGTTTGAAGCGAGTCATTCGAATGATTCGCAAACACTTGCAATACCCATTTGAAGAAAATGTCAACTGAATGCAGAAATGAATTTGTTAGCAAATGCCAGCTGGCCAACGAAATGGTGGCGAGAACTGAGTTTACAACTCAAAATCAGTTTATATGGCACATGTTATTCCCGACAAATCAAATGCTGTCGTCACGCCAAACAAAAAAAATAAAATATATAAATGAAAAACAAGGGGAAAAACATAAAAAATAAAGAAGAAAGTTAAGCTTTCTCTTTATGTAGAAACTCATAATTTTAATGCAATAATTCACTTAGCTCGGCATAAACAAATTGGAAAACTTTTTCCAGCAGCTTTCACTTTACACTTTTTGCGTGCGTTTCGTGTTTGAGACAAGCTCTCCGTCACACCAAACCCACTCCCCTTTCATTCCAAACCATTTTTACTCGGGGCGACCGCAGTCAGACAAACAGACAGTCAGACAGACAGACTGGGCAGACTGGGCAGCCAGCCGGACGGACACACCCCATAGCCCGGAGCCCGGAGCCCAGCAGAGCGCACACATGAATTGTCGTAGCCCGTTTAAATATGCAATGAACTTACATATGGGCTGATATACTATGAGCCAAAGTCTGCCCCGAAAAGTTTTAGTTTCACTTTCTCTTACTTTCTCTGTCGTTTTGGCAACAGTTTTTCCAGCCAGTTTGAAGCGTATTTAGTTACAAGAAAGCCACAAGAAAAACCACTAAAAAACTAAAAACGAAAAAAAAAAAAAAAGAGAAACAAAATAAAAGCAAGAGAAACAAAAAACTGAACCACAAAATAAACGGACTATTTCATGTTTAAGTGCAGCATTCAAAATGATGAATTTCATGGGACTGGCTTGCGAAAAGTTTTGAGCTCAATCTAAAAACTTGAAACAAGTTTGTCAAAGTGCACGAGCACTTCGAGCTCTTTTGTCGTGTTCCCAAAAACATCTGAAGTGCGCAAAACTTTTTCAAATTAACCCAAAAGAGATTTACGATGCCAACTGAAAATTGTGTTAGATAAAAGCAGCTGTGCTTTGCACTACTTTCAAGAGGTCAAATGCAAATCGAAGCGAAATTGAAGAAGACTTCGTGAGGGACGGACATCTATAGAAAACAGCTGACAACAAGTTCAGGTTGATCAAATTATGATGAAAGAAAAATTGAATACATTTCCCAGTTTTAAATGCTTTAAATTATTTAGAAAAAAAAAAATAAATTTGTAGAAAGCATTTTAGAATACAACTTCAGAGGTTTGCAGTTATTCTTAAGCATACAAACCGAGGGCGAAATGCTGGCGAAAGCGTTTTTAAACACAACCCAAAAACATGAAAGCCAGACAAGCGACCATTTAAATGCAACACACAGTTGCCCAGTTAATTGAATTTAATGCTGCACAGACACACACACACACACACACACAGGCATCAGAGTAAACATACATAAGCACACACTCACACACCCGCACACACACACACACTGCAAGCAAAAATATATAAAAAAACATCGTCTTAGGCGCTTACCTGGCGCAGGCATTTTTGTGTATAATTTAAAATTTTGTTTGCGCTTGAGCTTAGGCCCGGCCCAGCAGCTGCCCCAAAAGGCAGGAAGAGCTGAAGACGAATCCCGGCCCGAGATCCACCCTCTCCCTGGCAGTAAGACAGGCAGGGAACCAGCTAAAATATTTCTATCAAATTTCAATTTGTTGAAATTTGTTTTTTACAATTTCGTAAAGGGGCGGCCAAAGAGACATAGCCAGTGACAGCCATATACAGGCAAACAGAGACAGATAAAGAGAGAGACACGTAGCGAGATGGAGAGAGAGAGAGGGGCAGCGAGGGAGGGTGGCTGGGCTTAGAAAACTGTGAGTCGAAAGCTGCCTGCCACATAATTAAGCTACGTTCCAAAAACTTGAGCGAAAGCCCACAAAAGCCAAGCAAGCGCACGGCGGCTGTAATTAGAAATCCCCCTTAAAAATGTGAAAGATACCAAAAACGAAATACGCAATTCGTAGAAAAGGAACCAAAAAAGTACAGGGTATGGAGTTGGAGTAAGGAGTATGGCATATATACAATATACAATATGGAATATGGAATATGAAGTAGGCTGTAGACAAATCTCCAAGATTTGCCCGGAGATGCTCGTCAAAAAGTAATGCAAAGCTTAAATAAAAATATAAAAATAATTTTTTATGAATAATTAATTACCTAGGGACTTGTGGGTGTGTGTGTGCGTAAGTGCGTGTGTGAGTGGGTGTGTTGCCTAGCTAGAATGGCATTTAAAAGTGCGCCAAGGGGTTGGCCAGGCTTCAAGCAGGGCCTGTTGTGGACCAAAGTTGTTTGGCTGTGGCCAAACATTTGCCAGCGCATGGACAAGTGCGGGTTATGCGATACTAATTAGCGGACGGTCGGACAGACATTCCGCACGAGATGGTGAGCCGTAGAATCCACGCAGATAGCATCTGACGTGCGGAAAAGTTATGGCGCGCTGCGGCAGCACTTAAGCCGCATTAAATGCGGATTTTGTTTACATTTTTACTCATTACTTTGACGCCAGCAGCGAGCCAGCAGCAACAACAACAACAACAATGACATTGCCACAAATCCAGCTAATTTGTTTGTGTTCACATTGCGTGCCCTACACCGCCACGCCTCTCCAGCTGGGTCTCCAGGTGTCTTCAATAATGGTCAGCGGCTATCTCTAGTTGCTCTGACAGTCGCCTTGTGAGAGTGCCACTCAGACGCACGTCCACACCGCTGCTCACACAAATAGACACACAACACACTAATTAAGCATAAATATTTTCGTCGAGCTTTGGCCACAAGCCACATTTTGGTTGGGCAAAAACCATGCTCCAAACTAGCTGAAATCGATAGTTTTACAAACTTACGAGTTCTCAGCATATTTGAAAGTAACCACAAAAGTTTCAGAGAACAAATTTCCACGCATATTCCGAACGTTCGATTCGATTGAAGAATGTTAAGCTAAAGCAATGTCTAAAGTGAACGTCTATTAAATGCAAATGGATTATTATTTCCAGAAGTTGCAACAAGTCTTTAAATGAAAATGAATGAAATGAAAATATAATTCCGACTGTTACCAGTCGACACACTTTTTCTATCTTATAAAGATTTATAAAGACATACATATGTTATTCTGTGCTGCATCTATTTAATTGGCCTGCATTGTGCTTGGACAGGCACTTACATTCAATTCTGCGACTACATATGCCAGGTCCACAGTCCAGTGTCCAGGAAAGTGAGGGTTGGCACGGGGGGCAGCATTGAATTTCCGCTTGTGTTAATACAATTTTCTGTTACTTTGCTTGCCTGTGCTTCGCTTCCTGTGACTGTTGATACCCTGTACTTGGCCAGCGTGCGGCATATGGGCGGCTTGTTAGCCTACAAAGTAAACGTGTATAATTCTTGCAACTTGTTTTTATTGGTCACCTGCTATAGGGTATCAACTAGTCATAGGTCGTGCTCGCTTTGCTTTTTAGCTGCCTGAATGCTGGTGAAGCTGCGACCTGGGACGTGGACAGCTGGAAGCCTGTCGTCGAAATATGTTTTGTCCACATGGTAACAAGGCACACACACACACACAGCCACACATACACTTAAACACACACACACACACACACACACGCAGTGGGGCACTAATTGCATCGTTAGCGAATTTCAAACTGGCCTCAAAGTCGTCCTGTTTATCCTTGTGTATCCTGTGCGCTTTCGGCTGCTTATGCGAAGCATTCATTTGCCACGCCCGCATGCACCTTCTTATTTATTCATGAGCTGTGAGAGCCACAGCCCACTTTTTATACCCTTGTAGAGGGTGCTATAATCATGTCGTGAGGTGTGCAACACACTAAAGGCGACATTCTCAACCTTATCGCGTATATATACTTATATTCTGGATTAGTGTCAACAGTCGAGTCGATATATGTTCGTCTGTCTCTTAGCCCTAAAGCATTGCATAGGCCCATCTTTCTGTTGCAGGCAGTACATATGTCGATCCGGCCGGATCGGACCACTATATCATATAGCTGCCATAGGAAATATAAATCAAAAAGTAGGGTATTGTTTGGCAAATTATTCTGTTTTCATCAAACTCAGCCTTTACAAGCTTTACTATTCTCACATATCAGGAAACCCGTAAGATAAATGCCCGCAAGTGTATTAAATCTTCGACGTGCCGAACATAGTTGTTCTTTCTTTTTATTGATTGCCGTTGCTCAAAGTTATGTTTGCTCTCGAGCCAGCTGCGTCTCACACACACACACACACACACACACACACACACACACACACATCGATTTCTTAAAGCCTTAAAGCCCAGTTGATTTTTTACACTCGTTGACAATCATTTTGCAATAGTAAAGTTCTCAAGTCCTTAATAAATGCTATTCACAGTATTTGAAGTTTC